GCAAAAAACCCCAGCTTTCTAAATGTCTATCACTGAAAATGCAAAGTGTAAGGCTAGTATTTGGATTGCTCTGTGCCTAAAGTTTCAAGAACTGATATGTTGTCTGAAGATAGTTGACTGGACTGCTGATTCCCATTTCTAGAAAACTGCTGATGAAAAGGATCAGAGATGGGGGCAAAGAATCGTGCAAGAATGTTCACCACAGCATCAGTTATAACGGCAAAAACGCTTAAGCCAACCAAGGTGCCTCTACGAGGGAGGTGGGTAAATGATGCCTAATGAGAGAATGTTATACAGCCATTAAAAATCTTCTTTGCAAAGAATATTCACGAATATGAGAAAAGTAAAATACGTTAAGAGAAAGAAGACTAAAACTAAAACAACATGTAAGGATCCCACTTTTGGGATCATATACATAGAAAGGCTGGGACATCGCTGGATGATGACAGGTGACTTTCCTTTTCTTCTTCATACTTCCTCTAATTTTCTATAATGAATGCACAGGTTCATTTACAATCAGGGGGAAAGTTTCCATTAAATAATACTCATTTTTTAAAAACTAGGTAAGATTTTTAAAATAGAATCCAGGCATGGTAATGCAATGGTTAAACAGAATAGAAAACCCTCTAATTCCCAAATGAAGAATTCCCAAAGGAAGTCATTTTCTGATTATCTAAGAAATGCATTCCATTCTGCAAATTCCCAACTGAGGCTTCTAGATGGCGATTTATGTGAAGCAAGAATGTCGTCATTACAGAATAATCTGCTGTAGTGTGTCTTAATACCTCTCCTCTCTGTCTGTAAGAAATGGCACCAAGCTAGAGGAGGACTGAGGAAGCTTCCAGGCATCTCTTAGATCCTGGGTGTCATTTCATTAGCTTAATTTTTTTAAAGACATGGAGTCAGACAGTGATCTTTTTCAAAGCCTGCACTGAAAGCATTTCTGCATCAAAAGCATTTCCACAAAAGGATGTGGTTATAAAACCATTTCTAACTGTCATTAAGAACAAACCTGAATGCTACACCTCCTTCAAAGTACCCATTTCATCTGGGATTTAGAACAAGATCTTTCTACGCCACTGAGAGAGAGCTTATTGTAGTGGTAAGCACACTCATTTAAACAGCAGGCATCACCAGTCGTGGTATGGCACACCTGTAATTCCAGCTACTTGGGAGGCTGAGGCGGGACGACTGCTTGAACTCAGGAGTTCGAGTACAGCCTGGGCAACACAGCAAGACCCTGTCTTTATTTTATATTATTTTATTTTACTTTAAACAGCAGGTATCTCTTTGAGATCCTAATTTCAATTATTTTAGATACAGATCTGTAAGTGGGACTGCTGGATCATATGGCAGTTCTATTTTTAATTTGAGGAACCACTATATAGTTTTCCATCATAGCTATGCCATTTAACATTTCCCACAACGGTGTACAAGGGTTCTAATTTCTCCACACCCTTACCAACATTTATTTTATTTTATCTTTTGGAGACGGAGTTTCGCTCTTGTTGACCAGGATGGAGTACAATGGTACGATCTCAGCTCACTGCAACCTCCGCCTCCCGGGTTCAAGAGCTTCCCCTGCCTCAGCCTCCCAAGTAGCTGGGATGACAGGTGCGTGCCACCATGCCCGGCTAATTTTGTATTTTTAGTAGAGATGGGGTTTCTCCATGTTGGTCAGGCTGGTCTCGAACTCCTGACCTCAGGTGACCCACCCACCTCAGCCTCCCAAAGTGCTGGGATTACAGGCGTGAGCCACTACACCAGGCCGCCAACATTAAAAAAAAAAAAAAAAAAAAAAAATTAGCCATCCTGGCCCAGTGTGGTGGCTCACGCCTATAATACTAGCACTTTGGGAGGTTGAGGTGGGTGGATCACTTGAGGTCATGAGTTCAAGACCAGGCTGGCCAACATGGTGAAACCCTGTCTCTACTAAAAACACAAAATTAGCCACGCATGGTGGTGGGCGCCTGTCATCCTAGCTACTTGGGAGGCCGAGGTACGAGAATAGCTTGAACCCAGGAGGCAGAGGTTGCAGTGAGCCAAGATCGCATCACTGCACTCCAGCCTGGGTGACAGAGCAAAACTCCGTCTCAAAATAAAATAAAATAAAATAGCCATCCTGGCAGGTGTGAGGTTTACCTCATCGTGGTTTTGATTTGCATTTCCCTAAATGGTGACGTTGAGCCTTTTTTCATATACCCACTGGCCATCTGCATGTCTTCTTTGGAGAACTGTCTATTCAAGTCCTTTGTTCATTTAAAAAAAATTTTTTTTTTTTTGCCATTGAGTTGTTGGAGTTTCTTATACATTTTGGATACTAGTCCTTTTATCAGATATATGGTTTGCAGATATTCTCTTCCCCTCTGTAGGTTGCTTTTTCATTCTGATTATTTCCCTTACTGTGCAGAAGCTTTTTAGTCTGATATTGTCCGACTGGTTTTGCCTTTGTTGCCTGTGCCTTTGGTGTCACATGCAAAAGATCATTGCTTTTTCCCTGTGTTTTTTTTTCTAGGAGTTTTACAGTTTCAGGTCCTGTGTTTAAGTCTTTAATCCATGGTAGATGGCCAAAAGGACAAAGTCAGGATCCCAAAGAGATATCTGCACCCCCATGTTCACTGAAGCATTATTCATAATGGCCAAGATATGGAAACCACTTGTGTGTCTACTGACAGAAGAATGGATCAAGAAAATGGAGTACATTCTGGCTGGGCGCAGTGGTTCACACCTGTAATCCCAGCAATTTAGGAGGCCAAGGCAGGTCCAGCCTGGCCAACATGGAAAACCCTGTCTCTACTAAAAATACAAAAATTAGCCGCATGTGGTGGCAGGCGCCTGTCATCCCAGCTACTAATCAGGAGACTGAGGCACGAGAATCACTTGAACCAGGGAGATGGAGGTTGCAGTGAGCCAAGATGGTGCCACTGCACTCCAGCCTGGGCGACAGAGCGAGACTCTGCCTCAAGAAAAAAAAAAGTGTAGTATATTCCTATCACGAAACATTATTCCGCCTTAAAAAAGAAGGAAACTTACCATTTGTGACAGCAGGAGTAAACTGAGAAGACATGCTGAGTGAAATAAGCCCCTTACAGAAAGATGAATACTGCATGATTCCGCTTGTATCAGGTATCTAAAGGTGCTAAAGTCATATAAGCAAAGAAAAGAACGGTGGTTGCCAGGGACGGGTTGGTGGAGGAGGGAGATGGAGAGTTGTTCAATGGGTATAAAGTTTCAGTTAGGTAAGATGTGTAAGTTCTACAGATCTGTTGGACAAACAGAAGTGCCTATAGGTAACAAGACTGTATTGTACACTTAGAAACTTGTTAAGAGGGAATATCTCATGAGAAGTGGTCTTATAACAATAGCAACAAAAAATCCCAAACGGCCCCCAAAACCAAAGGGGCACAATGATTAAACTCATGAACCTGTGCACGTTAAACATGTGCAGCTTTTGCTGATCAATGATACCTCAATAAAGCTATTTAAAACAAAGAAGAGGTACATTTCTTCTGGTGCCACCAGCTCTGTCATTAGCTGTGTGACCTTGGGCAAGTCCCTTACCCTTTACGGGTTCCAGTTTTATCCTTCTGACAAGAAGAAACAAGCCTCTGCTATCCCCGAGTACCCCTCCTGCTGGAAGACTGCGGCGTGGGGGCCCTGCTGAAAAGCAAACCTTTCATGGGTAGGTCTTAGCAATGCAGCAAGGATTTTGGAGTGGACCAGAGATCAGAGGGATGAGAAACTCTGAATATGCAGCAGTTATGATGCACCTGCTGGGTGCAGGATGGCGAGAAAGCCTGACAGGGGCCTGCTGATGGTAAGGTAACCAACACCCCCAAGCTGCATGTGGGAGGGAGGCAGAGGGGCCCAGAGGATGAGAGGAAATGAAAAGGTGATGGGGCCGGGCGCGGCCTGTCATCCCAGAACTGAGAGGTCGAGGTGGGTGGATCGCTGAGGCAGGTGGATTCCTTGAGGCAAGGAGTCAAGACCAGCCTGGCCAACGTGATGAAACCCTGTCTCTACTAAAAATCACACCTGTCATCCCAGAACTTTGAGAAGCCGAGGTGGGTGGATCACTTGAGCCCAGAAGTTTGAGACCAGCCTGGCCAATGTGGTGAAACCCCATCTCTACTAAAAATACAAAAATTAGCCGGGCATGGTGGCGCATGCCCATAATATCAGCTACTCAGGAGGCTGAGGCACAAGGATTGCTTGAACCTGGGAGGCAGAGGTTGCGGTGAGCCAAGATTGCACCACTGCACTCCAGGCTGGGCAACAGAGCGAGACTTGGTCTCAAAAAAATAAAAATAAAAATAAAGAGGAGAAAGAAAAGGAGCTGGCCCAAACCTGGGTGGAGGACGCCTGGGGACAATTCTTCTGTGTATTCCTCCTGCTGGCCCTGGCCTGTAACACGGGCTCTGCTCTCAGTTCTCAGTTTAGATTTGGTGGTCCTGGACTTGAGATTTCTGACATCCCTTCGGGGCAGCTCCAAGTACCCACCATGTGTGATGCCTGGGACTCACTTGGCCTCTTCACCATCGCTGGTGCCCTTTCCTGAGTTTCAGGCTCATGAGATCATTCCCTGTCCTCCCATCAAACATGACCCCTCGTGTTCAACTTAGAATGAATGCCTCAGGGGGACAAATACAGTGGAAAGGTAAGATTGAAACAGGCAGAGCTTTGAAACGCACAGGGCTTGACAGTGGCACTGGGGACTGGCGTTCTGGAAGGCACATGGGGTGGCCAATGTTTAATTCCAAAGCCAAACTGAAAAGGATCAACTAACACGCAGTGTGATCCTCGCCTCTACAGAGGTGTCGCGGGTCTGAGCTCAGAGGGGAAGGAGGCTCAATCACGCCCCTCTCCAGGACAGAAGCCACTGCTCAGTTTGAGCAGGGCCTGTGGGTAAAGTGTAGATACAGGAAAAACAGCCCCGTTGTCAATTCTCCCCCTCAAGCTCAAACGCAACAATGAAGCTGCACAAACACTTCTCTACTTACTGGCATGGTTTTGTCTCCAAAGAAATAAATGGTCTTATAACCGTCATTTTCCACATGTCGCAGGCAATACCTCTTGTCCCATCCATCAGGAAAGACATCAAAGCTGATCTGGCCTCCTGCCGGGTGGGGATGGGGCACATACAAGCAAAAGGTGAAAAAGGGGCTAATGATATGTCACTGAAAAAAAACAATTTACTCTTTGTCAGTTAGTGGGGTGCCAAGGTTGATTTTCAGTACTCTAGTTTGCTACTTAGACTATTGCATGGATAGGTTCTAGAAATTAATTCTACATCATGTTTTCTGTTCCAGCATTATTTCACGTAGGTCTAAAATTGAGGCACAGAATGCCAACTCAGAGTGACAAATGCATTTGCATTTAAGCGCCCTGTCAAGCATGTGGTTTAAAGGAAGCATGCTTATGAAAACTCATTCTGCTGTGCTCGTCTCGGGCTTTCACACACCCTCAGTGGAAAATGCCTGGAAGCAGGCTGCATCCAGCATATTTGCAGGAAAAATGAGAATCCTCACTGAAGGTGATTTATAGGCAGCGCTCGTGGGCAACAAGAAACCTTTCAAAGCTTTGTCAGAAAGATGTCCATCTCACAGTTCAGGAATACAAAAAACCCACCCACTCATCTGTTAAATATAATCCCTTTGCCATTCCAGTTTTCCTACAACCTCTACTTTTATGAAAGCTAGTACAATGAGGAGGCTTTGAGCAATGACTCATTGGCCCTGACAAGAGAAATCGGTGTGCAAAGCATTTGACAGGCATACTCTAACAAAAGACAAGCCTGAGACATCCATGCTGCAGGAAGAACTCTGCATTGGACACCAGAAGTGTTCACACACTGGCTGTGTAAACAACAGCTTTGTGAACTCGGACAAGTCTCTTCTCCTTTTTGGGCCTCAGTTTCTTAATCTGTAAAAGCCACCCAATTGGCTCCTAAGGTTCCTGCTGTTGAAACATTGTATGATTCCAAGACGTCGGTCTCGTTTACCTAAGGGGTTCAATTCCATGTCTCCCTTACGGAGTTCACTATAGTGCTTCTCTTCCGCCCAAAGGTGTGAGAAGTTCCTACTCATTAGTAATCGAAGTGCTCCTCTTCTGACGAGAGAAGTGCAGGTAGGAAGAATCCTGTTGTGTAAGAATTTAGAAGCAAGCCCAACAGTCTGGAAGCTGTTTCTTGACTAGGCAAGTCCTATTATGGCTAACTATGCAGAAAAGAGAGTGGCCGCTTTTTGTCTACAGACTGGACTGCTCATTTAATCTTCCTGCCCACCTAAAACTGCACATACTCCATTATCAATAGCTCACTGGCCCACAACAAATTCCAGGAAATGGGGATCCAAGTTTGTAACACAAACAATATATACAATACCTATGGAAAACGTGAGGCCTTTTCCTGCAAACTCTTTCCGTAGATCTGCTACAAACTTTTGTCTTATATTTTCCTTCTGAGAAAAAAAAAAAAAAGATGCCAATTGTCTCTTGTATTGCAGTTTAGAAAGCACACTTTTAACTACTAGCCACCAAGGTATGAATATCTTATTTATTTATTTGTTTAGTTTTTGAGATGGGGGTCTCACTCTGTTGCCCAGGCTGGAGTGCAGTGGCATGATCACAGCTCACAGCAGCTTCAACCTCCCAGGCTCGAGTGATCCTCTCACCTCAGCCAAACAAATAGCCGGGACCACAGGTGTGTGCCACCATGCCCGGCTAATTTTTTTTTTTTATTATTTGTAGAGATGAGGTCTCACTATGTTGCCCAGGCTGGTCTTGAACTCCTGGGCTCAAGTGATCCTCCTGCCTTGGCCTCCCAAAGTGTTAGGATTACAGGCATGAACCACCACACGGGGCCATATCTTATTTCCATAAACCCAGCCATTCACCAAAGATATTTCAGAAAGACTTACTTTATCGAGTTCATAGAACTCAATGCGTTCTTCTTGGCTGCAGCTTCTTCCAATTGGCGACACGTTTAACATCCCATTCCGGAATTCAATGAAAGTACCCCTGGGAATTAAAGAGTGACAGAGGTTCCCCAAAACACATTATTTATTTGGGAAACATCATAAACAGCCTAAAATCTTGGGAAATTCTAAAAAGCAGAGGCCAGTGTGGTCAATCTTTCTCAGCTCTGTGCTGTGTAATACGGTAGCCATGAACTACTGTGACTACTGAGACCTGAAATGTGGCTAACATGAATTGAGATTAGATTTGAAAGACTTAGTATGAAAAAGGAATGGAGTCACATCAGTCATGTTGTATACTGACTTTGTGTCAAAATGGTCATATTTTGAGCCTGGATGACACGGCGAAACTCTGTCTCTACAAAAAATACAAAAATCAGCCAGGCATGGTGATGCGTGCCTATAATCCCGCTACTCAGGAGGCTGAGGCAGGAGGATTCCATGAGCCTGGGAGGTAGGAGTTGTAGTGAGCTGAGATCACCTCACTGCACTCCAGTCTGGGTGACAGAGTGAGACCCTGTCTCAAAAAAAAAAAAAAAAAAGGGTCATATTTTAGATATATCAGGCATCTCACCTTTTCCTTTTCATTCTTTCAAAATGTAGCTACAGAAAATTTAAAATTATACATAGCTCACTTTCTGTTTCTGCTGCACAGTGCTGCTATAGGGCAGATAATTTTATGGTTAATACAGAGCTATGAAAATGATTTCCAGCACTGGCAACAGCAGTGGTTTCCCTGAGGAGTCTGAAAATACATGTACCAGACATCTATCTTGCTACTGAGCTTCTGAACAGACTGATAGTACCAAGCAAAGCTACACAAAAAAAGGCTCTGAGAATTGTCCAACGAGCCTCAGTAATAACTGAGGAATTTCAATTTACCTATTAGCAGACATCTCCTAAATGTTTGATTTGATCACATAAAATGAGAAAGTAACATTAGTTTAGTCACTTCAAATGAAGATGTTTAACAATGTTCTTTTGGCTGGGTGCGGTAGCTCATGCCTATAACCCCAGTACTTTGGGAGGCCAAGGTGGGTGGATGGCTTGAGCTCAGGAGTTTCAGACCAGCATGGGCAACATGGCGAAACTCCGTTTCTACAAAAAATACAAAAATTAGCTGGGCATGGTGGCGCACCCCTGTATTCCCAGCTACTTGAGAGACTGAGGTAGGAGGATTGCTTGAGCCTGGGCAGTGGGAGGCTGCAGTGAGCCAAGATCGCACCATTGCGCTACAGCCTGGGCAACAGAGGGAGACCCCGTCTCAAAAAACAAACACACACATACAAAATAAAAAACAAAAAACAAAAAGATGATTTTTTCCACTGTTTCCACTATGAGTCTGAAAACAGTTTCTCTGGCTCACGCCTGTAATCCTAGCACTTTGGGAGGCTGAGGTGGGTGGATTCCTTGAGGCCAGGAGTTCAAGACCAGCCTGGCCAACATGATGAAACCCTGTCTCCACTAAAAATACAAAAATTAGCTGGACCTGGTGGTGCATGCCTGTAGTCCCAGCTACTTGAGAGGCTGAGACAGGAGGATCACTTGAACCCGGGAGGTGGAGGCTGCAGTGAGCTCAAAGCGCACCACTGCACTCCAGCCTGGTGACAAAGACTCTGTCTCAAAAAAACAAAACAAACAAACAAACAAAAAACCCACAACCAAAAAAAGAAAACCACCCAGTTTCTTAAAAGTTCAGATAACTTGTAAACGAGACATCATTCTGCCCAACGAAATTTAAGCATTCTCTGACAAACTACGCAGTGAAAAGTGTCTTCCAGTTCTAAACACTGATGCCTGGGAATCCTACGAAACATTTTCCCTGATCTTTTTTTTACTATTTTAATCTCACAGATCTGTTCTCCAGGCACTGGCCATCGGAAATACCGAGAGGCCGCATGCCATGTGCAGGGTTGACGACCTAATCCCATGTCAGTGTGGCTCTGGGCACCTCTCCAAGCCTCCTCTTACTCACCTACAGAAAGGCTAATAGCACGTGCTCTGGTCACCTCCAAAGGGCCTTGTTAAAATCAACGTGCCAGTTATGTAAAGGTACTCTGTAAACTGGGAAGCAATGAATACTTATCAAAGTAAAAACAGCAAAACCTCCATCAGCTGGATCCTCTCCCCTGTTGTGCTCAACTTTCAGAGAAACAGGCAGATTATGTAACAAAATATGCAAGCCTAAACATCTCTCTCAAAAATCCCATGTCCAGGCCGTCCCAGAGTTGGTGGAGGCCCAGCCTGTCCTCTACCACTTCTGTATGAGCACTGAGGCACTAGGGGACTGGTGACCATGCCCCGGGTGACCCTAGGGCTATGGGTCCTAATGATCAGAAAAACAGCTCCATTATTTCCCCCCTACTCAAGGACATTCTTCTTCTCATTTTCAAGGCACAGAGAGAAGCTGATGCAGTTTAGAAAGCCTTCCCCAAAACAAGGATGAAGGTGGATTACCAAGCAATCAGTTCCTCCCTAAAGACCTGGGCTCTCTGAAGTCTCACTGCATCTGCCTGGCCATCGTGGGATATGTAGTGTTGTCAGGCAAATGTGGACAAATGTGGGTCAAGGTGGGTCTCAGCTCTGCCTCCTGGATTCACCAAATCTCTTCTACTATTCTGGAATTATGGCTCTCCACATGCCTCTCCCTTGCTAAATGATATACTCTTTGAGGACAGGATTATGCCTTTTATTAATTTTAATCCTTCCTTAGCACTCGGTCCAGAGTAAAAACGGAACTGACCTGGGATATTTGTCTATTTTATCTTTTTGCCAAGGAAAATTTCTAACACACACAAAACTAAACAGAATAGGACGAGTCCTCACATGCCCATTACCCAGCTGCAACAGTAACAAAGTCCGGGTCCAGCCTGTCTCATGCAGGTCTCCTCTTGGGCTAAGGGACATTCCTGCACTCTGGAAGGAGGTGCTGAGCAGGAGGCGCTCAGGTTACGAATCCTAATAGTGTGGAGCAGCCTCTGAAGTACAGCCTGCACTGAAATCGAATTGCCACTTAAACCGTGTTTCGACCCTGATGATTAAGGTGTTACACAGTAAGCACTGAAAACTGGGAAGGCCGGGCACAGTGGCTCACGCCTGTAATCCCAGCACTTTGGGAGGCCGAGGTGGCTGGATCACCTGAGGTCAGGAGTTCAAGACCAACCTGGCCAACACGGTGAAAACCTGTCTCTACTAAAAATATAAAAATTAGCCAGGCCTGGTGGTGGGCGCCTATAATCCCAGCTACTCGGGAGGCTGAGACATGAGAATAGCTTGAACCCGGGAGGCGAAGGTTGTAGTGAGCCAAGATCGCGCCATTGCACCCCAGCCTGGGCAACAGAGCGAGAAAGAAAACTGGGGGTAAAAATGAGAAGGATTTCAAAGAAATCACCTGCAACCTCACCATCAAGAAATAGTCACGGTTAACATTTGGGTCTATTTCCTGCCAGTCTTTTCACTGTGGGCATTTATGTTCATCGTTATTAGTATTACTATTATTTTAAAAATGAAATTGAGACAACTGTACCCATGGCAGAAGGTAGGTCCCCAAACCAAACATTTATGAAAGCCAGGGGTGGTGGCTAATGCCTGTAATCCCAACATTTTGGGAGACTGAGGTGGAAGGATCGCCTGAGGCCAGGAGTTGCAGACCAGCCTGGACAATGTGGCAAGACCCTGTCTCTACAGAAAATTAAAAAATTAGCCAGGCATGGTAGCATGTGCCTGTAGTCCCAGCTACTCAGGAGGCTGAGGTAGGAGGATCACTTGAGCCAAGGAGGTTGAGGCTGCAGTGAGCTATGATCATGCCACTGCACTCCAGCCTGGGCAACAGTGCGAGATGCTCTCTCTCAAAAACAAACAAACAAAAAACAAAAAAAAAGCCTATAGAGTCAGAAAATGAGAGAAGCAGTCTGTGAAAGACTGGAACAAAGGTCCGTGGGTCAGGTGGCAGTTGCTCAGGTGGCACCCGCCGGGGGGGATCTGGGAGCTGGAATAGCCAGGTCTCACATTTGCCAACAGAAGCCAGAAATCTAGATGTGTAAAACATAAAATTAGGCTGGGTGTAGTGGCTCACGCCTGTGATACCAGCAATTTGGGAGGCTGAGGCAGATGGATCAGTTGAGGTCAGGAGTTCAATACCAGCCTGGCCAACACAATGAAACACCATCTCTACTAAAAATGCAAAAAAAAAAAAAAAAAAAAATTAGCTGGGCATGGTGGTACGTGCCCGTAATCCCAGTTACTCCAGAGGCTGAGGCAGAATTGCTTGAACCTGGGAGGCAGAGGTTGCAGTGAGCCGAGATCCTACCACTGCACTCCAGCCTGGGCCACAGAGTGAGACTCCGTCTCAAAAATAAATACATAAATAAATTTTAAAAAGTAAAATCAGACTTTTACATGACGGCAATTAATCCAGATTTTCTTTAACACTGCAGGCCAACCAGATTTGGGTTTTACATGGATCTGGCCTGAAGGCTTCCTGTCTGAGACTTCCCAATCCAGGGTTTCTGTTGCTTTTTGTACACGCTGCTTCACTGCTGTTTCCTCTTACTGACAGCCTGTGAAAGCATATGGGCTTCAATGGCTGTATAAATTTCCATCATGTGGACAAGCCATCGTTTACATAATCACTCTTGTACTGTTGGCTTTGTGGACTGTTTCCAATTATTCCTTACTAAGTGCTGGGATTCGGATTTAAATTCGCTGGCCCATGGTGGCTACTGAACCCTGCTGTGAACCAGCAGCACCAGGGCAGTCAGAGAAAACGTGGATTTCCAAGCTCGACTCTCAGGCTTTCTGAATCACAACTGTCAAGGGGCAGGCTAGATATCAGACTTTGTTTTTACAACTCTTTAGGTGATTTTATAATCCTGTTTGGAGAATGCCCACATTAACCCACCATATGACACTACGTCATGTTCCAGCGGTGCCTCTGTTACAAGCGAACCCACCTCTTCTTCGGGAGTTTAACTTTCGCAATGTAGCTCAGACAGTAGTTGATTAAATCTTGGATTAGGGCCTCACCCAGATGACTTTGAATATTCTAGATGAAGAAAATACTTGAGTTATTTGATTCAGCAGGAGCATTTTCAAAACAGCTTTATAGCAAACCCAGGGTCTTCAGCCACTATTGTTGAAAATCAGTAGGCTGATATAGCAGTGATGGTGACATGCCTCACTGCCTGTTTAATTTCTTCTCTTATTTCTCTGGTCAAAAACATTAGGCAAGCCAGAAAGGCTTTAGTCAAAAGCATTTGCTGCTTCATTACCCAAGATTTTTGTACTCATTATTGTTCAAATGCTTCCTGTAAGGCCCAAAGAGCTTACTGCTGCCACTTTTATTCAATTAAAATATCGCCAGATATTGACAGAAAATATATTTGTTTCACTTCAGCATTCTCTTACGTCTGAACAGAATGATCTTACTACTACTAAGAGCCACATAGTACCTCTTAAAAATGCTAATAGTGGCCAGGTGTGGCAGCTCACACCTGTAATCCCAGCACGTTGGGAGGCTGACGCAGGTGGATCACTTTAAGTCATGAGCGTGAGACAAGCCTGGCAAACATGGTGAAACTCTGTCTCTACTAAAAATACAAAAATGAGCCAGCCATGCTGGTGGATGCCTTTAATCCCAGCTACTTGGGAAGCTGAGGCTGAAGAATCATTTGAACCCAAGAAGTTACAGGGAGCCAGGACTGAGTCACTGCACTCCAGCCTGGGCAACAGAGTGAGATTCTGTCACAAAAAAAGAAAGAAAAAAAAAAACCCAACGCTTATAATGAGGCAACCTGCTCTAGGTTTATCATCACAGAAATGTTATTAATAGATTTAAAGCCAGGCATGGTGGCATGTCCCTGTAGTTCCTGCTACTTGGGAGGCTAAGGCAGAGGATCACCTGTGCCCAGGAAGTCTAGGCTACTAGGATTGCACCACTGCACTCCAGCCTGGTTAACACAGCATGACCCCATCTTCTTAAAAAAAAAAAAGAAAGAAAAGGTTCGGTGTGGTGGCTCATGCCTGTAATCCCAGCACTTTGGGAGGCTGACGTGGGAGGATCACTTGAGGTCAGGAGTTGGAGTTCAGCCTGGTCAACATGGTGAAACCCTGTCTCTACTAAAAATATACAAATATTAGCTGGGTGTGGTGGCGTGTGCCTGTAATCCCAGCTACGGGGGAGGCTGAGGCATAAGAATTGCTTGAACCAGGGAGGCAGAGGTTGCAGTGAGCTGAGATCGTGCCACTGCACTCCAGCTCCAGTCTGGGTGATGAGCAAGACTCCGTCTCAAAAACAAACAAACAGAACAAAACAAGAAAAGAAATACTATATTTAAAAAGTATAAAAATTTAGTTATTTAGAATAGGAAGTCACATGGTTCAAAATTCAAAACAAAAAGAATACAGAGTAAAGATTCATTTCTACCCCTGTTCCTCATCTTCCCAGAGGCATTCAATGTGAAATGCCCTTTTAGAAAACACTTTTAGTAGTATATAGTAATTCGGATACTCAAGAACCTACCTGTTTACACAAGAGCTTCCCATCTTTGTATGCTACCAAGCCATTTTCTGGAAACACATAATCATATTTTTCAACCACTACAATCAAAACCAAAAAAACACTTAGAATGCAAAGGATCAAAACCCGTGTTTCTATTCCTTGATTAACAATGACCACTAATAAAACCGCTAAACTCCAGCAAGGACTGTGAGAGACCATCTCATCTTACAGACTAAGAGAAGAGTATGGAAAAACCTTCCTTATTGTTTTTTTTTTTTTAATGGCTCTTTTTGGTTACATATTTAAACGATGACTGGGCAGGAGATTAGAGACTTGGTGACAGGTATCTTACGTCCCTGACTTCAGCCTGACTGTCTGTAAAGGAAGATGCTGGTCCACGATGCTGATGGTTTGCCAGCAGCAACCAGGGCAGTGAGTGAAAGTGCAGATTTCCAAGCTATGCTCTCCGGCTTCCTGAATCAGAATTGCTGAGGGACAGGCTAAATATATTTTTAAAAAGCTCTTTGGGCTGGGTGCCGTGTGGCTCACGCCTGTAATCCCAGCACTTTGGGAGACTGAAGCGGGTGGATCATGAGGTCAGGAGTTCCAGACCAGTCTGGCCAACATAGTGAAATCTCATCTCTACTAAAAATACAAAAAATTAGCCGGGCATGGTGGCAGGTGCCTGTAATCGCAGCTACTCGGGAGGCTGAGGTAGGAGAATTGCTTGACCCTGGGAAGCGGAGGTTGCAGTGAGCTGAGATCGCGCCACTAAACTCCAGCCTGGGCGACAGTGCAAGACTCCATCTAATGTCAAAAAAAAAAAAAAAAAAAGCCCTAAAAGACCTCTGGTGGCCAGGCACAGTGATTCACGCCTGTAATCCCAGCACTTTGGGAGGCCGAGGTGGGCAGACCACCTGAGGTCGGGAGTTCAAGACCAGCCTGGCCAACAGGGTGAAACCCCATCTCTACTAAAAATACAAAACTTAGCTGGGCGTGCTGGTGGGCGCCTGTAGTCCCAGCTACTTGGGAGGCTGAGGTTGAGGCACAAGAATCACTTGAACGCAGGAGGCAGAGGTTACAGTGATCCAAGATTGCACCACTGCACTCCAGCCTGGGCCGGAGAACAAGACTCTGACTCACAACAAAACAAAGCACTCTTTGGTGATTCTTATAATCAGTCTGGTTTGGAAACTATCCATGCTGTCAACCTTAATGGAGGGATTCTCAAACTTCAGGTACCTGTTAAAATGCACATCCCCTATGTGTTGGGTGGGGCCCCCACACTCCTATTCTAATAAGCTTCCCAGGAGATTCTGATACAGGTGGGCCTTCACCTGTCTTTTAGCTGGTGAATGTTTTGATTCTATTGTTGCATGTCTCTGAAAGGTGCAGACACTACGCTACCCTACACAAAACTTCCCTGAGCAAGTGGTTAAATACACAACTAGACGCAGAAAGGGTGACCATGAGGAGGTAACAGGATTTTCAGGGCTTCATGATCCCCAGTATGTGGTTTATAGCATTTCTAAGTAGGAGACCAACCAGGAAAATGAAGTGGAAGTGCAAGAGTTTTTAAAGGCATTGCGGAGATTACTCTTCTAGTAATGGGGATCCAATAAATACAGGCTACACAGATTTGGACTGTAAGATATTACATCTCTGAGAACAGTAGTTCTCAAATGGGGGTGATTTTACACACAGGTCATTTGGCAATGTCTGGAGACACTTCCGGTTGTCAGAGCCGTATGCGTGCGTGTGTGTATGCTGTGGGCATCTAGTGGGTAGAGGCCTGGGATGTCGCTAAATACCCTACAATGCACAGGACGGCCTTCATAATGGAGAACTAACTGGTCCAAAATATCAATAGTGTGAAGGTTGAGAAATCTTGCTCTAGAGGAGCTGGTTTCAAGATGTGAGGACTCTGGGGACAATAGGGGTTAAAAGAACAATCAATTCATCCACCTCTCCACTTACATTTCCTTTTTCTTTTTTTTCCCAAGACGGAATTTCGCTCTTATTGCCCAGGCTGGAGTGCAATGGTGCGATCTCGGCTCACTGCAACCTCTGCCTCCTGGGTTCAAGCAGTTCTCCTGCCTTGGCCTCCCGAGTAGCTAGGCACAGGCACCCACCACCACGCCCAGCTAATTTTTTGTATTTTTAGTAGAGACGGGGTTTGATCATGTTGGCCAGGCTGGTCTCAAACTCCTGACTTCAGGTGACCCACCCGCCTCAGCCTCCCCAAGTACTGGGATTACAGGCGTGAGCCACCACGCCTGGCATCCACTTACAATTTCTTACAGGCCAGGAGGCCCTGGGGCTATGCAGATGAATAACTCATACTCCTGCTCTTCAAAAACATATAATCGGATAGTTTACAATAATTACAGAATGCTACATTACCAGGGGTTATACACTAGAATCTCTCGGAGGTACTTACTAAAATAGGATTCCCAGGCTCCACAGACCTATCAAGTCAGAATCTCCAGTGAAGGGGTCAAAAACCTCTCTGGTTTTTTGGGGTCCTGTGCTGGAGATTCTGTTCCAGTGATGGGGAGGTGAGGGGGGCTGTCAGAGGGACAATTTGAAGACCAGCCTGACTGGGGCTAGAAGGGCAGTGAACGGGTACAAGCAAGAAGTATTCCAGGCAGAGAGATTACTATGTGCAAAGACACAGCCACTGACCTTTCTAGGTGAATCTACTCACACATCTGAGTACCCAGTTCTCCATCAGTAACTCCAGAAATTTACTGGATTAAAAGCAGAGGAAAAATAAGGGCCAAGAAAATGTTTCCCAAACAAGGAAGCAGAAAGTCTGCCATATGGGGATAAGGTTTTAGGGCAGCCTATGATACTTGGCAATAATATCCTCATAAGAAGTTAATCTTTTACTAGATGTAATTAGCAACCTCTCATTTACCATCATTTCCCAGTTGCTCCTGCACTTTCTCAAAGTCCGAACCGCCTACCACTCCGATTTTGATCTTCTGCCTCAATTTTTGCAGGAAGTCATCCATTTCTTTGGTAATTTTCTAAATTTCAAGAAGGAAAATACAACACTCATAAGCCAAAAAATAATCAGGAGACTAAAACTCTAAGGGTAACACAAGTACACAAATCTTATTTTCTTATTTAAAAATTAAAGAAAAAAATTGTTTTTGACATAGGGTCTCACTTGTCACCCAAGCTGGAGTGCAGTGGCATGGTCATAGCTCACCGCAGCCTCGACCTCGACCAGGGCTCTGGTTATCCTCCTACCTCAGCCTCCTGAGTAGATGGAACCACAGTTATGCGCCAGCACACCTGGCTAATTTTTTTATATTCTGTAGAGACGAAGTTTTGAGGCCAGTCTGGAACTCCTGGGTTCAGGAGATCCACCAGCCTTGGTCTCCTAAAGTGCTGACATTACAGGCATAAGCCAGGCCTATAAGCCTTATTTTCATACATGCCAATTAAGTTACCAGCTCTCTACACAGTTCAAATATTTTAGTTGTAATTGGGAGGGAGGCATCTTTACCAGAATAAACTTAAGTGTTATTTTTACCACATTTTAAACACAGGTAATATGTTAGTAGCTGTTGTGCACTGTGCTAGCTAATTTTTTACGCATTTATATACCCATCTATGGGCACATATACAAATAGGTCTTATTTTTGAAACATAAATGGAATCATTCTATGTCCTTTGCAGCAACTTCGCTTTCTCAGCAACTTCGCTTTTTCAGCATGATGTATTCCTTTTAAATGCTACACTATACTCCATCTATGGATTTAAGTTGTTGATTTTAAAACAAAATAACATAATGAAATTAAAGAGGAAGCTGAGGGCCAGGCATGGCGGCTCACGCCTGTAATCCCAGCACTTTGGGAGGCCGAGGCCGGTGGATCACCTGAGGTCAGAGTTCGAGACCAGCCTGGCCCACATGGCGAAACCCCATCTCTACTAAAAATACAAAAATTAGCCGGGTGTGGTGGCACGCGCCTGTAGTCCCAGGTACTCGGGAGGTTGATGCAGGAGAATCACTTGAACCTGGCAGGCGCAGGCTGCAGTGAGCCGAGATCGTGCCCCTGCACTCCAGCCTGGGTGATAGAGCGAGACTTCGTCTTGATAAATAAATAAATAAATAAATAAATAGGAGAAGCTTAGAACTGATTTATTGCAATTACTCAAAACAAAAAAAATTGGAAAAGAGTAAGATGACTAGATTTTTTAGTCTCTTCTAAAAGCAAAGCTCCTATCTAGAAAGAGTGGTCTTAGTGGTATGACTTTATGGTAAATTCCAAACTGTGTGATAATTTTTAAAAAGTTATAAACTAAGATGAAAAACAGCCCTACATCAAGACACATCACAATGTATTTTTACAAGTCTTATAACTCAGTACTTTGAGCAATCTTAGTTGAACATTTACACTGAATGTCTATTTTTTTTTTTGTGACACGAAGTTGCGCTCTGTCGCCCAGGCTGGAGTGCAGTGGTGTGGTCTTGGCTCACTGCAACCTCCATTTCCTGGGTTCAAGCGATTCTCCTGTCTCAGTCTCCCAGGTAGCCAGGACTACAGGCGCCCGCCATCACGCTCAGCTAATTTTTTGCATTTTTATTAGAGACAGGGTTTCACCATGTTGGCCAGGCTGGTCTCGAACTCCTGACCTCAAGTGATCCGCCCGCCTCAGCCTCCCAAAGTGCTGGGATTATAGGCGTTAGCTACCGCGCCCGGCTGAATGTCTTTTTTTTGAGACAGAGTCTCGCTGTGTCTCCCAGGCTGGAGTGCAGTGGCGCCATCTCCACTCACTGCAAGCTCCGCCCCCCGGGTTCACGTCATTCTCCTGCCTCAGCATCCCGTGTAGCTGGGACTACAGGCTAATTTTTTGTATTTTTAGTAGAGACGGGGTTTCACAGCATGAGCCAGGATGGTCTCGATCTCCTGACCTCGTGATCCACCCGCGGCCTTCCAAAGTGCTGGGATTACAGGCGTGAGCCACCGCGCCTGGCCCTGAATATCTTTTTTAAAAAGTTACTAGAAATTTAGAAAATACAAAAAACCATTTAATTCACCGTCAGTATATAAACACTTGGAGTTCAATGATTTTTCTTTAAAAAATTTTTTTAGAGTAACACATGAATCTGATTAAAATAAAACTGCATAGAAGGGCTTGTAATAGAGTTCAATCTTTTCTACTCTCACAGTGGAATTTGAACCTATTAGACAAAATCTAGAACTGCAGGAGTGGCCCTTAAGAGTCAGAACGCAGTGGCTCATGCCTGTAATCCCGGAACTTTGGGAGGCTGAGGCAGGTGGATCACAAAGTCCAGAGATGGAGACCATCCTGGCCAACATGGTGAAACCCTGTCTCTACTAAAAATACAAAAATTAGCCAGGCGTGGTGGCGGGCGCCTTAAGTCCCAGCTACTCAGGTGCCTGAGGCAGGAGAATCCCTTGAACCTGGGAGGCGGAGGTTGCAGTGAACTGAGATTGCACCACTACACTCTAGCCTGGCGACAGAGTGAGACTCTGTCTCAAAAAAAAAAAAAAAAAAAAGAAGAGTCAGAACTGTGAAAATCAGATCAGAAGCACTTTCCTGAATGGCATACCTAGTAACTAGGACAGCTTCCACCTTAGCACAGATAGGAAATGGCAAACTTGACAGGAACCAATGTCCTGAGGCTCAGGGGCTTGTACCAGGTCGGCTGTGTGAAACTGAGGAGGTTAGTTCTTCACTGTGTTTCCTTATGTTTAAAAAGGTAATAACACCTATCCTACCTGGAAAGAAAGATGAAGGAAGGTTGAGAGGGTCCAGCGAAATCATGAAAAAGGGTTGGCAATGTAAACCCTAGACCGCTATGGCCCACAGACCACACTGGGCAGCTGTTTGTTTCTGTAACAAATAAATACAGTTTTACCGGTACACAGCCACTCTGTGTTTACATAGGGTTTATGGCTGGTTTTGTACTAAAGTTCAGTGGCTACTATAGACCATATGGTCTGCAAAGACAAAAGTATATGCTATATGGCCCTTTACAAAAAATGAATTGGGGACCGGAGTATTAGACCACTATGGGCTTTTAACAACCCCAAGTGTGTGATAGCTGAATTTCAGAATCAGAAAAAGCCTTTGAAGAACTTGGGAGTGTCATCACTAGGTAGATCAAAACTGTGGCTGAGAAGGGCAAAATGATACGTCTAAGGTCACACGCATTTGACGTGGCTTTCTGGAGCACACCATAGTTACCACCAAGCGAAGACTACGAGGGGTGAGGATATTAGTTGAGGATAGTGAGACCATTGGGGTCCAGTCTCAAGTTGAAATGGCCGGTTGTCAGTGGCCAATTTCTGAAAAGGGGACAGGGAAGCCTCATCTCAAGGCTGATAGTGACTGAAACTTATCTGTGTCTGTAGCAGCAAAATCTGGAAGTGGAAAGCAAGTTTCCAAAGGCCCAAAGAGGCTCTCAGCGGGCAGCCTGTAATAACCTAGGGCTCCTCCATCTTCCTAGTCCACTGCAGGGGCTGGAGATGGGTGTGGTGGAGGTGGTTACTATTTACTGAGGCCTAGTGTGCTGTGTGCAACACACTTTCAAGAACTTACACAATCTCATTTGATCCTCACAGTCACCATATGGAACACGTAATATCCCCATTTAAAGCTGTAGATGCTGAGGCTCAGAAAGGTTAATGACTTGCTCAAGGTCACACAGCTGTGAAGAGGTGAAGATGACACTCCACTAGGTCGATTTCACCTGGAAACCTGTTTTTAATATAATGACTCACGGCACAGCCCATTGGTTACAGGATTGAGGCCGGCAAACAGCTGATAAGGGGCACACAGCTGATGTCGGGTTCAAATCCTGGTCCATCGGTCCCGAGGACTAGCGGTGAGTCCAGATTGCATTTTCCAACCAAGCATAAGTTTCCTTCTCTTAAGAGTTCTTCAGCCCCGTCTCATCTTTCCAAGCATCAGAGCTCTTGAAGAGCTGGTTAGGGCCTCCCTCTCATCCCTCCAGGGCACCTAGAATAGGGTCCAGCCCCCGTGAGGACGCAGGCGGTCCTTAGCCAGCCCTTAGCGCCGACCCTGGGTAGTCGATAGCTCCAACTGGGAACAGCACAGACTCTGAGTCGGCTGCCACCAGCCCGCCGGGCGCCACTTACCTGCCGTGGGGCGGTGAGGGTCCCATCTACGTCGAAGAGGCAGAGCGCTGGGCCAGGCGCTGCCATGTCCCCAGCGTCTAACCGCACCTCGCAAGACTCGTTGGCATCAGGAACTCGGCCCGGAACTTCCGAGTTCGGCCCCCGAGCCGCAGGGCACGTCGGGAAGAGGAGGAGACTCCGTTCCCACAACGCCTGGGACTAGCGCCAGCCACGATTCCTGGACCGCAAATCCCAGGGTGCAACGCGGATCACGCCCGCCTTGTACATTCGAGCATGCGCTCTTAGAGGTTCCGGGGGCCGGTGGGATTTACTTCCGGCAGCAGGCTGTGGAGCCATGGTAAGGAGGCTGGTGGCGATCCTTGAGGGGGTGATGCTCTTTGGGGGTCGGTCGGGGTCAGAGCTGGGGCAGGCAGGCACGACGCCTGAGTTTCGGACCTGAAGAATCCGTGGGAGGAAGCTCTGGCGTGGGTTACCATTCGCCATTCCCGGGCTTTCTCTGCCCTCCTTGCGTCACGTGCTCACAGTAGTAATAGCTAAAACTCGCCGAGCTCTCACAGCGCATCAGGTACTAAGTTGAGGGCTTTGAAACCATCTTCTCGTTCACTGTGTTCTGAGTCCCCATTTTGAAAGCCGAAGAAACCGAAGCTCAGGGGTGTGGAGTGATTTGCTCAAGAATCCACAGGTAGTGACTGATGGAGCCAGAATTGGAACCAGAGCTTTTACTGCTTCACTACCCACCTAATAATATGTTTGTGCTACGTGTAGGGGCCTCCCTGCCTCGCTCCTCCTCCTCCTCGTTGTTTCCCCTTCCCCTGACTAGGTTAAGGGAAAGCAGCAGTTCCCTCCAGCACCCAAGATAACGTAAACAGAATTAGAAAGTTTGTTGGGATAACTATCTCACAGATTTGTTGCTTGAGTTCCCCACTAAGACATTGATTATTCAGTTTCCTGCTTGGGGAAATGTTCACACCCCCTTGTGGATCCATTGTCCAGCCCAGAGTTGGGACTCCCTAGATATGTTTTGAATTATTGATGGCCGCACCTCCTTTCTTGTATTTCTTTGGAATTGCCTGATGGAAGGAGGACTCTGCTGCACTCACTGACTGTGTGTTCTTTGGTAAATATCTTACCCTCTCTGGGCTTAGTTTCCCTAGTGGTAAAGTGGAAATAGTGATAACTATCTTAGATAGCTGTTGTGATGCCCACATGAGATAACATCTGGCTTTACCCTTCCCTCCTCTGGCAATAATGGTGACCTTGCAGGATTGGCAGAAGCCTTGGAGTATGGTGCTTTGCAGATGTTCACCGTGTGATTAATGTGGTTGAATTCCATGAGAGAAATCGTCTACTGTCTCCCTTTCAGGCTGCCCTTCTCCGAGTTGTGCCTAGATTTCGGGGAAAAGCAGCGTGGGAAAGGCCTCTCCATGGGCTGTGGTGCTGCAGTGGGCAGGAGGATCCTAAGAGGTGGGTGGGGAGCAGGTCACCCACCTCGAAGGAGAAACCACCAAACCAAGAGACTGAGAAATTCTGGATGTTTTACCGTTTTGATGCCATCAGAATCTTTGGGTTCCTGTCTCGACTGAAGTTGGCACAGACTGCCCTGACAGTGGTAGTTTTGCCACCAGCCTGTTACTGGTATTCCCAGGGCCTCCTGACTCTCAACACCGTGTGCCTGATGAGTGGGATATCGGGCTTTGCCCTGACCATGCTGTGCTGGATGAGCTATTTCTTTCGGAGACTGGTTGGTATCCTGTATCTGAATGAGTCTGGCACCATGCTGCGGGTGGCCCATCTGAGCTTCTGGGGCTGGCGGCAGGACACATACTGTCCCCTGGCAGATGTGATTCCCCTGACAGAAACCAAGGACCAGCCTCAGGAGATGTTCATGCGTATCCAGCGGTACAGCGGGAAACAGACCTTCTACGTCACCCTGCGCTATGGACACATCCTGGACAGAGAGCGTTTCACGCAGGTGTTTGGGAGACATCAGATGTTCAAGTAAACAACTGGGGCCTGGACCTCTGGGTAACCCTGGGTCACCTGGATTGACAGGAAGGCTGAGGGTGTGGGCACAGCTGAAGAAAGGGGATTGGGTACTTGGAGACTTTGCCTGGGCCCCTGGGAACATGTGTTTTGTGATGAAGAAATTCACAAGGCAAGAGCTGGTGTCCAGGTTTAGGAAAAAGGCTCTAAGCAAGTTCTTACAGCACTCGTTTGTGACATTCAGTCAGATAACGGCCAGAAGTTTTTGTTAAGAGCCAGTTCTTAGAAGAACCTATGCCAGGGTCACCCAGACAGTCCATTGGTGTGAAATTGAAAGGCAAAGAGGTGTGGTGGGGGAGCATAGGATTTGGAGTCAGAAGTCTCAGTTCTGTCACTTGTCCTGGGGTGGGTTATTGAGTCTCTTTGAACCTTGGTTTTCACATCTGTAAAATGGAAAGCCCTGCTTGTTTCGTGGGATGGATGTGGGAATAAATGTCAAACGTGTGGCAGACTCAGCAGCCTAGAGCAGATAGCATTAAGCATTTGGTCAGAGGTTTTGGCATGGAGAAAGGCTTCGAGCACTCAGCAGGGACTTCCAGAGCCCTGTGCTGTGCCCCTCACACATCCAGCAGCAGAAAGGTCTGCCAGGATGTTAACTACACATCGATGAGCAGCGATGTCGTCCAAGTGAGCACGAAACCCCATTTGAGATTTGTTCACCACGCTGAGATCTAGAGGCTCTTGCTTTGGATGGCCCTGCAGTGTAATAAAGCCTAATGGACCGTATGCTGGTACGTTCTTTTATAAACTAAAGCCAGTTATATGCATTGCCCTGCATAATTAATAATACATGTTCATTATGCAATTTGTAACACAGTAAAGAGGAAGGAAGGCATGATCTTTATTATTTTGCCACTCGAAAGTCAATAAGAATGTTTTATTGCCGGGGGCGGTGGCTCACACCTGTAATCCCAGCACTTTGGGAGGCTGAGGCGGATGGATCACGAGGTCAGGAGATCGAGACCATCCTGGCTAATGGTGAAACCCCGTCTCCACTAAAAAATACAAAAAAAAATTAGCCGAGTGTAGTGGCAGGCACCTGTAGTCCCAGCTACACGGGAGGCTGAGGCCGGAGAATGGCATGAACCTGGGAGGCGGAGCTTGCAATGAGCCGAGATCGCGCCACTGCACTCCATCCTGGGCGACAGAGCGAGACTCCCTCTCAAAACAAAACAAAACAAAAAATAATAATGTTTTATTGTGTAGCCTTCCATTTTTCTTTCTTTTTTTTTTTGTGAATTTGTTTTTATTGGGGAACAGGGCACAGGGTGGAAGATGTCACCTTGGGCTATGGTGTGTCCCACCTCCCAGAGAATGTCCATTTGCATTCTAATCTTCCTGGGATGCTTTATGGAACTTTTTCTTCTTCTTGGAGCTGCTCTTGCCAGCTGCCTCTTCAGGCCCACTGCTGACTGGCTCCTCTTTGGAGAATTTCCTCTTTTTCTTGGAGCCACGCCTTCCATTTTTCTTAACCGTACCAAGATACACCTAACAAATTTATCCTTTTACTCATATTTAAGAGTGTAATTCAGGGACATTAAGTATATTAACAGTGTTGTACAGGCTGGGCGCAGTGCCTCACGCCTGTAATGCCAGCACTTTGGGAGGCTGAGGCGTGTGGATCACTTGAAGTCAAGACTTCAAGACCAGTCTGGCCAACATGGCGAAACCCTGTCTCTACTAAAAGTACAAAAATTACCTGGGCATGGTGGTGGGCACTTGTATTCCCAGCGACTAGAGAAGCTTGAACCCGGGAGGCAGAGGTTGCAGTGAGCTGAGATCACGCCACTGCATTCCAGCCTGGGCGACAGAGCAAGACTATCTCAAAAACAAACAGAACAGAACATGTTGTACAACCGTCACCACCATCCATTTCCAGAATGTTGTCATTAACCCAAATAGAACTAAGATACCTATTGAACAATAATTTCCTTCTTTTTCCAGCCCTTGGCCACCACTAATCTGCTTTGTGTCCCTCTGGATCCGCCTATTCTGGATATTTCATATAAATGGAATCATATAATATGTGACCTTTTGTATCTGGCCTTTTTTTTGAGATGGAATCTCCCTATGTTTCCCAGACTCGAGAGCGGTGGCGCAATCTCTGCTCACTGCAACCTCCGCCTCCCCGGTTCAAATGATTGTCCTGCCTCAGCCTCCCAAGTAGCTGGGATTATAAGTGCCTGACACCACGCCTGGCTAATTTTTGTATTTTTAGTATAGATGGGGGTTTCACCATGTTGGCCAGGCTGGTCTCAAATTCCTGACCTCAAGTGATCCCACCCACCTCGGCCTCCCACAGTGCTGGGATTATAGGCGTGAGCCAGCACAGCTGGCCTGTATCTGGCTTCTTTGACTTGGTGTAGTGTTTTCAAGGTGCATCCATGTTGTAGCACGTGTCAGTGCTATTTCTTTTTTATGGTTAAATACATTTATGGGTGCAGTGTATATTGTCTGTATATACCACATTTTGTTTGTCCATTCATCTGTTGGACGTTTGAGTTGTCGTCACCTTTTGACTGTTAATGAATGAACATTTGGCTATTGCTATGAACACTGGTATACAAGTATCTGTTCGAGTCCCTGCTTTCAGTTGTTTTGGGTACGTACTGAGAAGTGGATTTACTGGATCCTGTGGTAATTCTGTTTATTTTTGAGGACCTGCCACTTTTCCACAGCGGCTGTACCATTTTATACGCTCACCAGCAATGGACAAGGGTTCCTGTTTCTCAACATTCTTGTCAACAGTGGTTATTTTTCCTTTTTTTTTTTTTAATTTCAGATGGAGTCTCGCTCTGTCACCTAGGCTGGGTTGCAGTGGTGCGATCTTGGCTTACTGCAGACTCCGCCTCTCAGGTTCAAGCGATTCTCCTGCGTCAGCCTCCCGAGTAGCTGGGATTACAGACACCCACCACCACACCCAGCTAATTTTTCTCTTTTTAGTAGAGACGTGGTTTTGCCATGTTGGCCAGTCTGGTCCCGAACTCCTGAACTCAAGGGATCCACCTACCTCGGCCTCCTAAAGTGCTGGGATTACAGGTATGAGCCACCGTGCCCGGCCCTTCACTTCGATGCTTCTATCCTGTGCTTCCATCCTTGCTTTACTGGAGTCCATTTTCGCAGCTGTCAAAGTGATGCTTAAAAACAGAATCACATCACTCTGCTGTGAAGGCTGATGGCCTAATCCACCCTCCCCTTTCCTCCCTCATCCGCAACTCTGTGGAGATCATTCCCCCAGGTCACGATGGCCTTGCTTTTCTCCAGTCATCAAGAATATTCCAGCCTTAAGGCCTTTGCATTGACAGTTTCCTCTGCCTGGAAGGCTTTCTCCCTAGATACCTGCAAAGAGAACTAACCGCCTCCCCTTCAGTGTCCTCTCTGTATAACGGAGTTTCACTATTTATGCTCAAGAAGTGTAGTGAATATTCAATTATATAGAAGAGAAATGTGCATAGCAGTTACACGTGGCTATTCATTCCTTCTGTACCTTGCCTTCACCTGCCTATCAGTTCTTCAGTGATTGTGACTCCCTTCCCCATGAAGACATAAAGCCTGTGGCTAAAAAATGTCTTAAAGAAGTCATAATGATTTGACCTTAACCTCATTAAAACCAAAAATTCTCTCTTTGTTGGGTTGTAAGTAATGACCTGAGTGAACTTCACCCCGGGATATTCTGATTATGTCTGGGGTGGGTCCCCAGGATCTGTCTTTTTGACCGGCTTGAAGCCAATTCTGAGCTTCAGGCAGGCTGGGAATTTCTGAAATAGACTACTAGAACAGAAGACACTAGAGTGACACATGGTTCTGTGGACTTTGTGTTCCTGGGCCAATTTTCTGCCCAAAGAATAGGTTCTTAACACTGGCTTTATGTGTAGAATCTCCTGGAGAGTGTTTTTAAAACCCCATTGTCAAAGCCCATGACCAGGCATTTTTATTTTCACGGTTCCCTGGGTGATTCTAACGTGATTGACCATCGCTGCCCTTGAAGTATCACCACTCTGTTAAGTCTGCAAGGGGCTTGTCCTGGGAGGTGAGACCACAGATTCTCACCCATGCAGGCATTCAATGTGTGGTCTGCTCACGCAGTACCAGCAGAGGGCACACAGAGCAAATGCATTATTCTAACCCTTTATCCCTAAGCTGAAATCACAGATCTCCACCAGACAGCAGGAAATGTGTTACGGCTTCCGTCATGCACCAGTAGGGTAGTACCTGAGAGCTGCCCCCAAAAAACCAAAGTCAACAACAAAAGTAATAAAAGGCCAGGCACAGTGGCTCACATCTGTAATCCCAACTCTTTGGGCGGCCAAGGCAGACAGATTGCTT